TAGCTCTTAGTGACAAAATTACTAAATATTTGTTGTGGGGTTTTTTTAATTGCCCAATAAATAATATATTACTTCACCTAAAATGTCCAACTGCCACAGAAAAACCTTATTGTCAGGAAGGAACAGTCATAGAGATGAAAACAATTTTCAGTGGCAAAGTTTAGGTTGGAAAGCTAAATTTGCCTTCACCTTAAACCATTGTAACATGCAGCAATAAGTTATGATACATCATACAGTGAGGGCTGAGCTAAACGAATGTTTGGTGTATTCTCCCTCCTCTAAAGCACTCTCCAGGTTAATAACCCAGTTTTGATAATATCAAAATGAATGAGATGGTTCTCTATATGTAGTTCAGAAGAAAAAGAAAAACATTGCTTTTTTGGAGGCGGAGGCAGGGAGATATTATCTTGCCTTTATTGTGACTGCAGGCACAAGCTTATCACTACAGTGACAACAGCAAAGGAGAAACAGGTCAGGATATCAGACCTCCAAGATGGTGAAATATGTTGAGATACAAAGCACCAGAATGATGGTGGCACTACAATTTATATCTGCAGGAACAAATATGTTGGGATTTAAACTCTGTGTTTATTGCTGCTGTGGACAAACACAAACAATGGCATGAGAACCCCATTTCTCCATTTCTCTCCATTTCAGTAGTGGAAATATTRGAATAGAAAAGCAGCTAGAGGTAACAAAATCAAGTTAAGGCTCAGCTTTTAGGTAATTTTCAATATTTATACACTATTTAAGAAAKGTTCATTCATCACACCCTCTCTTCTCACAGCTATTTCTCTCTGTTATTGGCTACTACTCACTGTTGGGTTTTGTCCCCGTGATTATTTTTATTAAAAAAGGTATTTCTCAAAATCTGTAAAACTAAAGAAATGAAAGCATTGGAATATTTTCAGCAAAAAATATTTATTTTTAAATGAAAAATCTTTTCATAAAAATAACCAAATATTTATCCCGTTAACCATATTTTTCCAATATTTAGCCTGATAACTACAGTCCCCAGCAAAAAATGAGTTTGTACTCTCTAGCTGTCCTTAGAATTTTAATCTTCTCTATCATCTGATTGTATCATTTGTGTCTGAAAGATATGCTATTTACTCAATAAAAACTGTCCAGAGAAAACCCAGAATCATTTGCTAATGAATGTCTCATCTTTTATTTATCTTCTCCACATAAAAAGTACTGCTAAGTTAAAGTTGTGGTTAAAAGAAATTCCTAGAAATGTTGGAATATTTTAATTTTGGAGATCTAGGTGAAAATAAGAAAAGACATAAAATAGAACAAAAGATATATTTTCTCCTACAAAGACAAATTTAAGGCCAGAACCTTCCTTTCTATCATGGCACAGAAGACCTGCAGACTCCAAAAACTGCTCCTGACCTTTAGGGATGCTCCTGCCTCAGAACTAACTTGGCTAACACGATTTATCCCCCTGATRTTAAGGCAGCAGCAAAAAGAAGACAAATTGTGTTGGTGGGTGGTATTCACCCCCTCTTTAGAAAGACGCTACAGAGGATTTTTCCATGAGCATCACTAACACTGATATTTTAGTTCTTTGTTTGCTGGCCTAGGTTAGGAATACTGTACCTTTTACCTCTCTGTCCATCTCACAGGAGTTTGGACAACACACTTGACAAGGTGTAATAATCCTGCAGGCCTTCCACAGTGACTCGTGACCTTTTATGTTTGAAAAGTGTGCATACTCCTCTTTAATGCAGTCCAAGTTTTCTGAAATAACCATTACTTTCTACATTCTTTCTCTGTCTTCAAGGAAAAGTTAAAAATACATTTTCTGAAATAAAAATATAGCCTTGCCAAATGTGGGTATGACTGAYATTTTTCAACCATGGGCTGAGATATTTTATGTCTCAAGTAAATGATTACTGATACTTGTTTTGCAGCTGGGTTAATATACTACTTTTAATTTTTTTTTCATTATTTATTTGCTTACATCTAAACAAAAGAAAAACTTAGGGGACTTTACAAATTCCATTTTTCCTTAGCCATAATGTTTTAATTGAGCAGCTGTTTGTTCAATCATTTCAAATTATATAGAAAAAAGTATATCTTTTTCCACACTGTATAAGAATTCTGCATTTTCTGTGGTTCAAGAGCAAAAATAGCCTTCTAATGGGAAAGGAATTGCAACAGCTATGAAATCAAATCCTTCTGTGCTTTCCACAGTTATTTGGATTTTCTTTTCTTAGAAGAGACAAAGCAAAATAATTTCTTGAAATTACATTGACATAATAGCTATACTTAAAAATTAAGCTTACACATAGGAATATTAAAATTCCTATTATTTTATTTTATATTTAAACATACTGCCCATTTAGATATTTTTCTTTATTCCTTTTTAATAAAAAAAAAGTATTCTTTTTCTCTTTTAATAGAAAACTTTAATATACAAGTGAATGCAAATTCTTTTCTCTCACTTAACACCATTGTAAATTAGGAGTAATTGCAACGATGCCAAGTAAAACAGCTCTTGGGAAAGGCTAAAGCATAAAGTGATGAAGCACTTCATAAAACTATAGTTGCCATGACTGATAGTACATTGCATGATATTAGGTCAAAGGAAACCCTAGAAAATATTTACAAAAGTTAATCAAATAAYACCTGTTCTATTTATGATTAGCATTTTAGAAACATTTGTATGTGTGAGACTGTCTTCTTTCTATGCCAAATCYTTTTTAATGAAAAAAGTCCTCCCTCTCATCTTCCCTTTTCTTTTGAAAAAATCCGGACTGAAATGCAAAAATAGTGCCACAGGGAAATTTGATCTCAGGTTCTGATGGATCAGCCTTCTCCTAACCAGTAGATTTCATTCCTCCAGAAGACTAAGTCTCCAGTGATGCATCGTCTTCATCCTTGAAGAAGAAAAATATAAAACATGGTAGGAAGCCCCAGGTCAGAGAGATTGTCCCATAAATGGATATATAAATTTGTTAATTGATTGTATCTTTAGTATTACATGGCAGTCAAGAGAACAGTCATAGAAAGAAGAACAACTAATGTTCTCTATTTTAAAGATTTTCAGAGATCTGGAGCAACACTCACAGGTATTACAGACTAAAAGGAGCTACCACAGTTAAAATGTTCTGTCCTTCAGGAGTGCTGACACTTGTTATTCCTAGTGGCCTGAGAAGGAATTTTGAGCCTATAGCACCTTAAAGAATCACATTAAGTTTTATTTAAATTGTTACTTTTTAGGCACTCAAAACTGAAGGAAAAAAAAGGCTGTTTAGTGTAATGTTATGAAAATGTGAGACTTTCAGCACTTTGGATTCATGTCTTAGAAGCATATCTGTTCTTAGAAAACTAATGTGGACTCGCCCCAAATCAATCTGAAGTGAAAGCTCCATAATAAACATAGAACTTACTACAGGTGGATTTGCAGAAAAAGAAGTGCAAAGTAATGCCAGAATATCACTAGTGCATAAGTAAGCATTCCTTGTACATTAGTCACTCATTCATAGAAAGAGCATATAAATAAATGATGTTTGAGACTTCTTTCAAATACTTAGATTTCTTTATATGATACATTTTAGAACATTTCACAGCATCTAAAATATATAAAAATAAATATCTACAATATTTACAAAGTATGATACAATCCAATCTTTAAAAACACTTGTAAAGACATGTTCTTTAGCTCATACTGAGGTAAGTAGGTTTCTGTAAGACTGAGAAGAAATAGGATAGGCAGTTATTTTGAAGGAATCCCTTTGTCCAGTTGTAGTCTGTACCACAGCTAAATGCATGTGCCACTCTCTGGTAGTTGTAGTGTTTTGAGCCAAAGTCATCCTTGCTGTAACTCCATCGAGGTAAGTTTAGTTATGCTAGGGACAAATTTGTCCCACTCTGCATTCTCTGTTTTGGCGGTGTGTTCTGCAGAAACSCTCACGGCTTCATCTATATTTGAAGTCATGTTCATCCCTGGTATGTGGAGATGCAGTTCCGCTGATTTCAACGGGCTGAGCACAGCTGGGATATCTGTAGACATAAAAAAGATTTTAAGATCGTTGTATAAGGGGGCTGACTGATTTCAATCACAATTTAWTCACTCTCTGATTATCACTTTCTGGACACTATGCAGGTGATAATCTATTCATAAATGTGAATGTCAGCCACTCATAAATGGTGTTCCAGAAAATGTTTCTAAGTGAAAGCTTCTTGATGGAAGACTAAGGGCATTYCTGATGCATAGATTTTGATTTATTTACTTTCCAACATTTTCATGTGTTCTACTAATTATTAATATGCAGTATTTAGTCAATTGTCATGTGATTCCTTATCCACATGTTTCTATGGCCAGAGGAGTGCCACAGTTTTCTGTGTACGAGTCAGTCATGGAATCATCAATAGTTTGAGTTGGAAGAGACATTTAAAGACTATCTAGTCCAACTCCCCTGCCATGAGCAGAGGACAGAGAGAAGAGAATGATGATAAATGAAAGACAAAGGGTAAAACATAGTTACAGCTATGCTGTCATGTGGGTTTCATAGCTGTAACTTTGCTTGTGCTGTACATAACGGAATGGCAATACTGAATTCAGGCCAAAAACTCCATTCCYCTACAGTAAGTGAAAAGTGGCTTCCCAAATGTTCCTGAACACGTGCAAYAAACTACCCAACAAGAAAGAGAGCAGAAAATTTTGGAAAATGAACAACAGTGGATTTCTTATTTGATCAGCATAACTCACATCAGAATGYATGCTAAGCAGATGATTTGGAACAGTAAAAGACATTCAAGTAGTTCAATCTGTACGTCCAATTTTGGTTAAAATATTTGTTATAAAATATACYACAACTTCAGATAATTAGATCAGAGTAGAATATAGCTGTCTATAAACACATTCCAATTATAGGGAAAATTATTTTCATACTTTCAGGTACTTGTTCTTTATTTGCTTAGGAGGCTAAAAGAAGTAGGGATCCAAAGAAAATATTTGTATAAAATGTGATCACTTTACTCGCTCCCCATCTGCAACACAACTTTTGAAATAAATGTGATGAAATTTTCTTTCAGCAATATATAATAAAAGTTATGGCATATTCTATAAAATATTTATTTTAATTTACTTTTCTTACAGTCAGTTCTTAATTTCAAACACCCTTCTCCCTTTGTGCTTAGATCCCAGTGTTGTTGCATGCACAATTAGAATTTACKTCCATGGGATCAAAAGGCAGAGGGACCAGTATACTAACAGTGGGTAATAGATGCAATACCATTTGATGGAATTGTGTTTATGTTGGTCAATACAACGTGTTCTGAAAGTTTTGAAATGTTATCAAAATTGCTGATCTGGGTGGTCAAGGATTTCCGACTCTCCGTACTGGCGCGGCCTCTGGTGAACCGTTCGTCGTGATGGCTGCGAAGGCCGAAGATGCAACAGGAAAATGCTGCTTTGAATTCTTCTCTAAATTTCCCTGTCAACCACAAAAATGAAAAAAATTGTACTAAAAAAATTGTATTTCATCAAACTTTATCGATTAGGATATAAAGAAGTTATCTAARGTAAAATTCATGCAAATCACCTAGATGTTCTTTTAATGTAGAAGTAATAAATCACAGTTTAATCACTTTGGAGAAAGACAGAAAAAAGATAACCTTTCTAAGAAGATATGCTAGGTGTGGTGTGAAGACTGAATTATTCTTGGCTAGRCAGAATGGACAAACTAGAATGATTAATGAAATCACGTCATAGATAGTCTCTTGATTAATTACATATGTAATTAAAAAAAAACAACTGAGCAAACATAAGCTTAAATTATTGAATCCTTACTCGATGTGAAATGAGTGAACATGGTTAATTTGTGCTTCATCATTAATACATTTTAAAAGAGGATTCAAAAAGTTTGACAGTCCCAAGCTTTTGGGGCTCAGAGGAAATTTTGCTGGTCATCCTTGTACTACACACCACAAAAAAAAAAACTACAGTGGGCCAACATAGTGAGGATCAATAGAGCTTTGCATCCCTGTATTTAGGTGCAATWTTACCACTTGATTCTGCTCTCCAAGGCAAATGACACAAATACAAACYAAGACAAATCTATACTGGTAAGTAAACAGAATCCTGGCTGGTTCTTTGAAGTTGAACCTAGCTGGAACAACATGGTCATGCAAATACTGATAAAGACTCCCAGCCTCCAAACCCCAATTCCTGCATACAACATGCCAGCTGGGGACAGCCYCTGCACTGTGCTAGCTCCCAGAGAGCATCCAGGGGGTGTTTAGRAGAATGGTAATTGTTTCAGATCAAAGTCATGCCAGGAACTTCTCTACCACATTAATGTCTTGGAGACACAAACTCAAGCACTTGGACTCGAGCCCTGGCCCTGTCTAGGTTACTTATRGGTAGCCTGAAGGTAATGGGATACTTCAGGCAACTTCTTCTAGGAGGAAGATGTGGCTCCCACTGGAGGAGCTGAGCTGATGTTGCACAGTCATTAATCTTTGCTATGGCTCATTACATTCAAATTACACATTAAACTTGAATTCTAGGTAACTGCAACTTACCACTGAGGAAGTTATAAATAATAGGATTGGCTGCACTGTTTGCATACACAAGCCAGTGTGAGAATGTGAACCAGGCGTATACAGTTTCTCTGTCATCAGCATGATTAAACATCCCCAAAACCCTACAGAAAGAGAGAAGCAAACCTGAAAGATGGCAAAATTAGAATTCATATAAAAAGAAATTACCAATTCTAGCCTAATTTTATCTCTGATGACCTATTTGCAGTACCACAGAAAAGCTGATTCAGCAGTACTCTCTTGAGAGAATGAAATCCTCTCCCCAACCCTCAGCTTCCTGTCTCGGTTGTTTAGTGTAACAAGAGAATTTGCTGTGGTGAAGATGCACAACTTTTCTGCCAAGTAAYCAAAGTCATCTGATGTCAGATGAGCCAAGAAAAGACAGGAAAAGTTGCTTTTGATGTACTCATGTCACTGAAGTTCCTGGCTCTAGGCCCACCCTCCAGTTCTCTCGGAACTGAAAAGGCACTGAACCAGCCCCAAACCTGAGGTTGCCATAGCAGCTTCTGTCCTCCAGGGAAACTTACATTTCCCAAACTCCTGATGCATTACTTCCACCATGAAAATCTAACTCTGGGCCTACTCTGCTATTGCTGTTGAGACAGACTGTRTATTTCCTGTTTCAGGTTGTAGGYGGCCTGAACTATGTTCTGGAAGTGSTTTTCCCTGTACATTTCCTATGAAGAGACCTGAGAGTGAAAAGCATTTAAATTAGGCCTCAGGAAAGGGTCATAATTGAGAGGGACGTATCTAAACCTTGAAACCATCCCTTAAAACTAAAATGTCCCAAAAACATCTCAATTAAAAAAGCACCAATAACAAGCTTGTTATTTTTTTAGGATATTCAAATCTTCTGCTATATGTCGTTATTTATTGATATTCCAGAGGATACATGAGGTGAAAYGAAGCTCAGTCTGTCAGGCACAGTACAAAAACCAAGAGTGTACACAACTGTGTACCAAATGAACAGACAGAAAATGATAAAAAAAGAAAATAAAGCTTCATAGGACCACCGGAAGGGTTAGCCTAAGTCCTCAAAATTGTACATGAGGGGCTTAGGTTTGCACCCAACATTTCAGAGTCCTCACAGCCAAGGCACACTCTCTGCTGCTAGCCTTCAGCTGCTGCTTTAGGTGACTGCACTTGCATGGGTGCATTTACAGCAAACAAGCTGTAATCCCGTGTAAATGGCAAGGTTTAATGAGGAGATAGCCTAGATCATTTTCATGAGGAAGATCTTGCTAAWAAGGGTTCTACAATCTGGCCTTTAGTTTAAGTACTATGTATGGGTTCTATATAATATTTTCTTGCAATTGTATTCTTAATTTACACTTCTTTATCATATAATAAATAAGCTTATCCTCCAAAASCATCTGCCAGAATAAAAGGAACCTTGTAGCAGAGGATTATTTTAAGACAGAAAGCTTTGCCAAGTGTTTATATTTTGGGATAAACTTTACCTTTTCAAGACATTRAGGATGCTAATTGGTAGATAGCAAAGTGCAAAAACCAGAAGGACAACCATTAGCATACGTGCTGTTTTCCTTCTTGCACGAATCTGTTTWATTTCAGCTGCCACAGCGCTAATCCTTGACTTTGTTGATTGTCCCAGCCCTCGGGGCTGTGCTGAAGGCTGCTGAGGCTTCCATTTCTTCTGAACAACAGAAGAAGTTCCTGGGATCTAAGGGTGACAAAATAAGGGGCATTTTGAAAAACATTTTTAAAAACTGGTTTTGTATCTAGATATAACAAGAAAAATAGACATGTTGACATGCAGAAGGCAAGCTCACAGGGATGAAAAGGATTTTAAAATTAAATTAATTTATGTTCCYGCAAGAAACAAACCGAATTTCAGACACGCTAGAGGGACTGCATAAAAGATTGTGTCTTATACAGAGATATCAACTGATGTACTCAAATTTTACTTCCCAGATACCTTGCTTTGCTTGTGTCTTCAGAATACCAAAATTACCAACCCTATTGCTGCAATCACGTTGCTACAAAGTTCTACATTAAATGTTTTGTTGTATAGCAGAGTAGTTTTTTTCCCATTAATATGTTGCTTTTATAAGATACCAAACAGTTTTTCTGTATTGGAAAACAAGGATTTTAAAACCTGCATAGCTTTAAGTGCCATAAAACTTCCTTACATGCAACCTGGATGACAATGAAGTAGTGAAAGAAAYCACAGCTGAAGTGTGGATATCTCTGCAAAGTTCTTCCAAACTGAGGGAAATAATGGAAAAGTGCCAAGACACAGGAAGAGTTAGATTAGTCAAAGACATGTTGTAATGAGTATATATAGCACCAYGCTAGTAAAAAAAAATTGGTTTTTGTTTTCCGTGCCCTCACATAAGAGAAGCCAAGTAAAACAATTTTGCTTCAGTTCTTCTAAATTACTTCCTGCCGGCAGCCAAACGTAGAAGTTTGCAGATGGCAAGTTGGAGTCTCTTTCTCAGAGAACTCTGTTGCAATTACATTTATAGTGTTTTCAGTGTCATACAGTGTGAAAACCTTTTGGCTAGAAATAYAGTTTTATTTATGTGTAGTACAATTGTGTGGGGTTTCGTGTGAAACATTTCATGTTCAGAAGTATCTGGAAAATTCACATTGTCTATTGTAACTTTTTTTTAAAAAAATAGGGCTTATCCACATAAACTGACCAGAAAAAGGATGAAATTTTTGATATTTATTTCAGAAAAATAAAAWTAAGTTAAAAAGTATGCACATTCAGAATTGTTCTAGAAAAGCTAGTTGGGGGTTTGGTGGGTTTGGGGTTTTTTTTGATGTGGTTTTTGGTTTTGGTTTATTTATTTATTTGTTGGGGGTTTCTTTTGTCTGTGAATATTTTCCTTGCACAGACAAGCCCTTAGTTCAGCATTTATGTGCACCATGAAACGTAATTTACAGCTACTGGAACATATTGGCAAAGTTGCTTTTTAACAAACAGGAAATCAATTAAGCAAAATAAGGGCTAAGTTATAACACTTTGTTTTTATTAATGTATCTATGGACTTAAACCAACCCAGCCCCTTGCCCTTTCACTGTGGGTTCCCACTCATTCAGCTGAAATCAGCAGTTATCAGCTTCATAATTGCAGGTCTGTTCTCCTGCAAGGAATTTACCCTATTTAGCTCTAGGGTGTAGCAGAGAAGTGATAGAATGGGAGAAAATGGTCTCAAGTTGTGCCAAGGGAGGTTTAGATTRGATATAAGCAAAAWCTTCTCCACAGAACGGGTTGTCAAGCCTTGGAACAGGCTGCCCAGGTAAGTGGTTGTGTCACCATTCCCGGAGGTATTTGAAAGATAAGTAGGTGTGTCAGTTAGGGACATGGTTTAGGGGTGAACTTGGCACTGTTAGGTCTGYGGTTGGATTCAATGATCTTAATGGTGTTTTTCAAGATAAATGTTTCTATGATTCTATGGTTATGTATRTACAAGTGTACACAAGTATACACATGGGAGCATAATGCACATAATTGCTTTTTGATAATGAGTCAKTCATAGAGATAATTTTGGAGCATTTTTATGATTCCAATGTTTTAGGAAAAGCCTGTTAGCTGGGTCCAACCGAGTCTAAAATTTAGAGTTACTTATGCACGTTTTCTCTATCCCCTCAGATAGTTATCAAGGAGTTYATAACTAAAGAAAATCTCTGAAATCTCTCAGCTTGCAAAGATTGGAAGGGTATATTTCAACTACTAAACTGAGAATAGATAGAGTTCCCAGTTATTAACACAAGTGGGCCTTAGTGTCAATGCATTTGGACATCAGTAAATTGAAGCATTCTTGGAACTTGATAACACAAATTGTGTATCAACATTTCCATCATAAGTCCATTCAGTTCTATTTGTTCAGGAGTTGTTTTTAATCTACTTAAGATCCACAGAGAACATAGACTTCTAAATCACTGCTTCYTTGCTAATAATTAAAACAAACTTCTCAAAATTTCTAATATTTTTTCATTATTGTTTTTGCCTTTAGGAAGGTGAATCATTAATTCAAAGATCTGCTTGAAATACACAATCAGAAATTTTAAGAGCCAAGTATGAAAACAATAACTTGTAAATCCATCTTCTAATTTTCATCTGAAAATTTTCATTCACAACACATTACATTTTTAAAAAGAACCTTTAGAAAAAGTGTACAGGATAGAAAGCATCTACTGTTTGTAATGTTTTTCTATCACATACATCTGAAAGACTCACTGTACCTTGCAATAGGATCACTGCATTTAACTAAACTTCTGGTAAACAGCATGATTTCTTAATTGAAACTCTTACCAAAAAAAAAAAGCACTGCATTCATTTGTGCTACATGACTGATTASAGCACACCTGCTGCACTTAGAAAGGTGCCTGATGCCTGCAGCCAAGTCAGAGTTGACAATAGATGTGCAGAGGTTTCAATTTCACTTCGTGCAGCCCCTCATACACAGTGACATCATCCACGCCAGGTGGAGAGAAGCTGTAATTTGGCACCACTGATAGCACTAAGCCTGCAGTAGATTGTCTCTCTTTGCCACTGAAAWATAAAGGATCATCCTAACCTTGTCAGAATGCAAGATGAATAGGGAGACAAAACATTTGAAGAACAAATAGACCAGCTAAAACAACTGGGGAGTGGAAGCAGGGGAACTCAAAAAGAGGTTGGTTTTCAGTCATTCAGCTTCTGCTCTGAATCTGAGCCGGCATTTTCAAGCTGTGCGTAGGTTAAGGACAACTGCTTTGCATGAACTTAATTAAGAGCTCAAGAGAGTAGGCAGATTGTGAAGAAGGTATAGAAGAGAAGGTTAAGAAAGAATATGGTGATAAAGCCATTGGGTGATATAGGACTGATTAAGCAAGGCAGAGCACGTAAGAGCTATGTTAGACTGAACTTAACTACAAAACTAAACAAGAAATCCTTTGTTCTGGTGAGAAATCCCCTCAAACTATAAAGGTCAAGTTTTATCTCCAAGCTATCTTGCTACATTATCTTATCAATCTAAGAAATTAAAAGCAAAAATAATAATTTAAAGCTGACAGGCACAATAAACAGTAATTCTGGTTTAACCTCATCTGATTAGAAGTGACAATAATTGCTGCTATGACTTGTGGATTATAACAAAATGCCTTAAAGTGGACTTGGTATTTCTTGTATATGAGTTACTTGCAAGACATACATTCTGTCAGTACAAAATTTGATTTTTAATTTTATCGTATTTATATTTAGATATCTAAAGTCTAACTTGTGATTTCTCTGATGGATCGATTTGAACTTCCTTATGTTCCTGATTATCCCCTACCCAGGACAGCCTCAAATTTGGATGGTGAGAGAGAAATAGTTCATGCCCATATGTTGATGGAAATCTGAACCACTGCTAGAGCCACTTGAGAGGGAATATCTTGCCTCATTTCTCCAACAGGATGAGTTTATTGTCTTTTACAGATTGACAGGGCAGTTGGTGGTGGACTACAGATACAGATAAATCCCGGACAAAGCAGAAGACAGCAGAGATCACCACAGACTGGTGCATGACAAATTACAGTTCACACCCACAAAGTGATTTTTAAAGATTCCTGAAAATCTATGCACTTTTTGCCACTTAAATTCAAATGTTCTTTGTCTGTTTGCCTGCTTGGTGGGTTTGTTTGCTGGTTTTGTTTAGTATTCCTGTTTTCTTTCCTTTATTTTTAATTTGAAACTTGAAAAAACTGATGTTCCCATTAGAAATTGTGTCAATTAATTGACATAATCCACATCAAAAATGACTGATAACAGCSAGCTTCACATCAGGTAATTACAGTCTCCCAGTTCTGATAGCTGGACCTTCTAGTTTATTTTTGTTCAGATTGGACCTGTTGTCAACTTGAGAAAAAAAAAAAATTAAAATAAAAGTAACAAAAGGAAAAGGTCAATCTTAGATTTTGACTGCTGTAGCAGATTTTAACACTATAAATAAGGTCACATAAGATATTTTGGTAAGCATTTCAGATACGGTGGGGGAGATTTTTCTTCTACCTATAATCAATTTTTCTGTTGCCTTTTGCAYTCTTTCTCACAGAGAAAGACACAAGCAAGGTGTTTAATTATGATTTTTCAGTACATCTCAGTGCTTATCCAAGGTGACTGTAAACCAGCATGGATGTAACAATCCAAGTCCTGAGTGACAGCACAGAGTTTATAGAGAAAAAGGTTGTACATGGGAATTTGCACAAAGTTGCAGGAGCAAGGAATAGAGCCAGTGCTAAGTGACTTACCTGGCGACACCACAGCTTCCGGAATATTTGCAAATAGGCCAACACCATGAGACACAGCGGTGCCATGTATGTCACCAGAAAGAAGCATGTGTGATACATTTTGGGGTAAACCTCAGCTGGAAAGAGAATTCAAACAGGAAAAGTGCATTTAAATATATATACATTTCAAAATCACCTTWAGAAAAGGCATTCATATAGATATGCAAGTATTTTTCAACATAATAGGATTTAATGGAAGATGTACCCAACAACATTATGGTCAATATTGTTTTTTTAATCCCTTCTAGGTACATTCTATTAGAAACATGCTTTTATCYGAAAGATCTCCTATATCCCATTATTGATTTCTTATCATTTTATTACTTTACGTATGCAGCCTTAARAAGTTTTACTTTTTGTTAAAATTGTGATGGATTAATTTTGTAATCTAAAGTTGAGATACCTAAACCTGAAAAGATTTGTCATCTGAAAATAGGTAACTAATTATCCAACCTACCTCACTGCTGACACATTTAACAGGCTGTGTAACTGCCTTTAGTTAAATCTGCAAAGGCTACTGTGTATGCCTGAATAAATTACACAATCTCCCACCTATGAWGAGTGCAAATGCAAACTACAGCACACAGGGCACGGATGGCAGGAGAGACAGGCATTTCATAAATCACTTTTGGCAGCAGAATAGATGTGATTAAGACTCAGTGATTAATTATTATGATTACATTTRAAAAATAGAATTAATACATTCAAGTGCTTTAAACTTAGGAAATCCTAGAGGTGGTTTTTGACTCGGTTTTAACAATGATGAGTTTGGTACAGTTGTGTTCTAATTGCCCACATATCCCTTTTCAAAAGACAACTTATGAATGTTATTTGCTTACAGACAAACATCTTACAAGTTCTGTGAGTGCACTGTGTTTTAAGAAMATYRRATCTTAAGCTCCATCGGCAGTTTATAGCAGAAAATGCAGTGCCTGAAAACCTGCCTCTCTTTTGTAACATTAAGTGTAGTTCGCTGCTATCAGTTGTTGGCATTAATTACAACTTAACTTCTATGAATGGCCTCGGAGAGTAACATATATATAGCAGAACACAAACTGCATCCCRTAAGCAGTTATTGCATGATAATCATAAAAATGTCATGTTGGCTAGAGYAAAGAAGGAAAGTTTATTCCAGAATTTCCAAATGTTTCAGGATGATAAGATTTGCAAGTGAAAATTCTGTATTGATTGCTGTTTTAATTTAATAAAAAAGAGAAAAATAAAAAGAAAGAGTTGCATGAGACCAAAACTTTGATGCATTAAAATTATTGTCTGACTGTTCAAGTGACTGAGACTGTGGACCCTAGCAAAGAAGGGGTCCCTCTGCCTGCCACAGTCTCTCAGAGTTTGATCAGACAAGGAGATAAAAGATTTGGCCCATAACTCTCATAGTCAGGAAGAGAACACCATTATGTTAATTCCAGGCTCACTCTCAAATGCAGACTTGAATAATCTTACACTTCTCCTTGGACCTGAAAGTGCCAGCTGATCCACCAGCCAGAAAAWCTTCAGGGAGATAGAAACTTGCCACAGCAAAATCCAGCCAAAGTTCACTCCCAGCAAAGGTAATAAAGATGTTGCCACTGACATTTGATAGTTTGGGTCAGGGTTCAAAAAATTCAGATGAGCAGTGTTTGACTTCTTACTGGCTCTAAGATTCTGTAACAAACCATCTTACGAGCTCCTGACTACAGCTGCAGCTACTAGCTCTTGCCAATGTCCCTGGGGGGGGCAGGGGCAGGTTGTTTATAACTGGCATTAACCTGAGATTATGTGCTGATTGATGACCTCAAAATTGCTTTTGCATTCCAGAAAATGCAGCCTCACAGCAGTCCTGATAGCCAGGGAAACACTGACATGCTTCACAGGTGGAGAGATGAAGGAGAAACCGGAGTAACGTGACTTACTGGGATCACAGGGGGTCAGAACWGAAAGTACATTCTTTGTGCTCAGGAGGAGGTGCCACCTGCCCCATCGGGCTCTGCCGGCAGCCAGGCCCCTTTCAGGTAGCACGGTRCATATTTAAAAGGCCATCTGGAGTTTATGACATCCAATTTAGCATTCCAAGTAAAGTGAAACATTAAATGAGCCTAGCTATCTACAAAGAACTGAGGACCAGGTTGGAGGAAGATCCTAACACTTGCCTTTGAAGTTTAGCCACCTGGAAAGCGGCAGCTGCTAAACATCAAAGGAAACCTGTCCCTCCTCCACCCAGGGCAAAGCCCTTTGCAGAACTTTTCCCTAAGAAGCATGACTCTGTTTAGCTTCTCAAGCCMAAGAAAAGCTTTAAAGCTTTTTGACAATCATAGCAGCAAGAAGGAGGAAGGGCTGGCTTGGGATACCAATCATTTATCAAGTGAGTGAGTTCCAGGCTCCTTAAACTCAAACATCAATCAGTCTGTGGTCCTGCCTGACTGGGATGGCTGAACCTGTCACTGGCAAGCAGAAGAGCAGAAAAGTGTCTTTGCCTTCTGTGGTTGCTTCAAAACAGGGGAGATTATTCTTAGCTGGAGTTAAGAATTGTTAGCAGGAGTTAAGAATTYGTTATTTTATTCTTAAAAATCCTCTTTAAGAATAAAATAACTATTCTCATGCCTCTGGCTGCTCTGCTACTGAAAAGAGAGAAGAAAACATAAAGCAAATAGGTTTTCATAGGAATTGGATTTGGTTCAGATGAGCATTCCTACTCAGCTTTATTCATACAGTGTAATTACCACRCATGAAAAAGGATCAGTATGTTAAAACAAGCTTTCT